GACTGGGGAACTGAGACTCAGAGTGGTTAATAAGTCCCCTGAGGCTGCACTGCTGTCAAGTGGGGAAGACTCAAACTCAGTCTTTCAGGTTCTAGTTCTACAGTTCAGGTGCTTTACAGTATATTGTGCCCAAGACCAAACAATATCTGCCTGCCGAGTTCACACAGCTCTAGACCTGCTTTCTGAAGATGTCAATTGTCACTTCTCAAGACTGCTGAGACTCCCTTTTTCTAGTAGCCTATTTACTGCAAGCTGTAAAACAGTTCTGCTAAATTTCTCATAAGTAGGAGTTATGAGGTGCCAAACTCTCAGGCATCCATCTGGGAGAGGGGCTTACATCTTCAATCTGTGCTTTCAAGCTGCCACAAAACTTACCATTTAGCCTCCCTGTCTTTTCAGAGTATCATTAGCAATCAGAGATGCACTGAGCTGAACCATCTTGAAGAACCATCACATTCATGTCACAGGGAGAGAATGAATTGATTGAGGGTCCATAGACTCCCCTCCCCAGGGCCAAATGCACAAGCTCAGGAATTTGCCTATTGACAATTTACAGGCCCGTATATTTTAGAGCTGGCATATGTTATAGATGGAGATAAATTAGTGGTTCTAAGTGGAGTCTGGATTTTGGCCCCCAAGAGGCATGTGGCAATGTCTGGAGTCATTTTTTGTTATTTTGACCAGAGGGAATGTCACTACTGGTATCTAAGGGTATATGTCAGAGACAAATTTCTGCTAAACACCCTTGTGTTCCAGTTTCCCAAAAAAGAGTTATCCAGCCCCAAATGCCAATAAACCTGGTGTTGAAAGCCCCAGATTAAATCAGCTTAAGGTATGAAAGAGATCTGTCTAAGGAAATCGAGTTTACCACTAAAAAAACTGAGCATACCAAAGCATTGTATGCATCTCCCCAGACATAAAAAGGACTTGTAGCTGCTTTCCTGGGTATTCCAGGTAGTTCTATAACAACGAAGAGAGACACTTCACTTTGAGTCTGAGGCATTCTCTCTCAGAACAGTCCCTGGAGAATGGGCTAGTTTGATCAAGGTGGTCCTCCACAATTAGCAATGCCCAGGCTCCCTCAAAAGGCAGGGAATCAAAAGTTTGCCAAGGCACTTCCTTCACTGTGGGAACTTTCTATCAGGATGTACTATCTGAACAAGTCCTCGCCCCTACCTGGCAGGAGGGTTCTTATTCATGAACATTTCAATGGCACGTTCATCCTCAGGGTCCACAACCACCTCTGCATGGTGGTCTACCCCTGTCATTTTGGCTGCCTTCTCCAGGGTGGGCCACTCCTCATCCTCATCATCTGATCCATCCTGGGGCACTCCTGGCCCTAGAAGAGGGAGATGAAATCAATGAGCATGGCAAGGAGTGGGTGAGGGACTCAGAATCAATGTAATATTAGCCATGTAGTACCGGCCTCATGTGCTTGTGATTTAGATGTGTGCAAGGAAACAGATGAGGCACACACTATCTTCCTGTCCCCGGGGGCTCGTGATGTTGCTTAAGAAACAAAATGTAATATATGAAACAAAGAGAAAGCAATGTCAATAAATTATTATCAATAAATCATCCTAGGTTTTGAAGCAAGACCTGTTCTACACCACACATGTCGCCTCACAAATCATGACAACCTCAAGATGCAGGTGCTATTATACCATTTCAAATGAGCATACTTAATCACAGAATAGCTAGGTGATGTGCCCATGGCAGGCAGGCAGAGTTTTCACTGCATTCTTCGCCACTATGCTGCACACACACAGAGTAGGGCTGGATTACTCATCAAATCATACTGGTATAGAGACAATATATACCAGACAATATATAGGCACTTAGAAGCACCTGGGCCATGAGGGCACTAATCTCATCAGTGGAGCTATTAGGGGGCAGGGCCCAGTTGCCTTGTCCCTGGCCCCTTCTCTCTCAACTCTCTGCTTCTGGTTGCCATGAGGTGAGCAGCTTTCCCTCTGCCATGATGTTCTGCTTCACTACAGGCCCAGAATAATAGAGCCAGCTGACCTCAGAGAGAAACCTCTGAAACATGAGCCAAAGGAAATCTTTCCTCTTTCACGTTGTTTTTCTCAGGTATTTTGCCACAGCAATGGAAAGGTGATTAACAAAGGGAACAACAGAGTGTGTTCCACACCCAGGTAAAAACTCTGGAAAAAGCACTTAGTTATTAGAATGTCTGTTGGGCCATAGCAAGAAATAGGGCTAGATGGCAAAGGCAAGCTAGCCTGGAGAGCCCTGGTGGCCAGGTGGTAGAGTTCAGATTCCAACTGAGCAACCATCTGAATAACTAATTTTTTGAAAGGGTACAGCTGGCTGAGTAGCTAGAGCAGATTCTATCAATCCAAGTGAGGTAAAATGCTACACGTAAACAGAACATTTAGAAGAGAGATGGGCTGGGGGTGTAGTTCAATAGAACATGTGCTCAGCATGTGTGAGGTTCTGGGTTCAATGTCCAGCACTGGGGAGAAAACAAACAAGGACGATAGAGATAATGTGTGACAAAAGCTAAATTGGAGAGGGGATTATGACAGACATTGTGTCTACTTGCTAACAACTCCAAAATCTGTACTATAGGTAGATATACGAATGCTTAGCTCCAGTGAACAATGAAGCCTATGCAGGTGACACACACAGGTAGGACCAATGGGAAAGCAGAAGAGGCAAGACTGGCACTGGAAGCAGGCCACATAGGACATTGAAGACCTCTAACTGCTGAGTGGACTGTAGAGATTACAGAACACTAATTAGGACACTGTTGCAATATTCCAGGTGTGAGATTGTGGTAGTTAGAACAGGATGGTGGTGAAAAGTGGTCAGATTCTGGATGGATATTGAAGATACAGCCATCAGAATTTCCTGACAGATCAGATAGAGAGTGAGAAAGAAAGAAGTCCAAGGTTTCTGCCTTGAGCAAATGAAAAGCTATCATGCTAACAGACACAAGGAAGACAGTAGGAGGAGCAGGTTTGGGGACAAGCTGAGGTTCTGTTTAGGTATGTTGAATTTGAAATAAATATTAGGAGACTTCAAATTAGAGATGCCAAGTAGGCAGCTGAATCTAGAATCTGGGTTTCATGGACAAGAGCAGGCATGGAATATAAGGTTGGGAAGAGTCATTAAACAGATAGTATTTAAATCATGAAGCTTCATGATCTCAACAGAAAAAATGTATTTGAAGAGAAAGACTAATGACTGAATTTTGTGGCACTTCATAACAAGTTGGAGACAAGAGTCAGTAAAAAATACTTAAGTCAGGTGGTAGTTAAACAAGTGTTTGATGTTTTAGAAACCAAGTACAGGGTCTGGGGATGTGGCTCAAGCGGTAGCACGCTTGCCTGGCATGCGTGCGGCCCGGGTTCGATCCTCAGCACCACATACCAACAAAGATGTTGTGTCCCCCGAGAACTAAAAAATAAATATTAAAAATTAAAAAAAAAAAAGAAACCAAGTACAGAAACTGTAGTCAAGAGGCAATATTTGATTGGGCCAAACACTGATTTTAGGACAAATAAGTAAGATTGGGAGGTTTAAGCAACAGGGAGATCAACACTCCTTCCATAATGAAAAAATATCAAAACATCTTTCAGTGCATCTCTGCCCCTCGCTGGCCTCTAAACAGTATTCCCCCCCACTTGATGAGAATATGCCCCATAGCTTTTTAGTTTTCAGCTTGAAGATCATACAATCTAGAAAGCCTGATCTCTTAAGACGAATGCTACTTTTACCAGGGACAGCATACTTTACTATGGAATACATTTTTCTGATTGTTTCTCCTGAGTTCTCTTCAGGTCCTAAAGTCAGATACATGTCTACTTTTATTTCTGTATCCAAACCATCCAAACTGCAAGCATAGTGTGAAGCACTATGGAGGCATCTTAATAAACACTTGCAAAATCAATGGCTAGATGCTAGGAGAACTTAGTGGAGTGAGTGATCACTTCCTGTTGGCCTAACTTCGGTGTTCTTGGAAGGGTGTGTCTGAAACCAAGAGTGGTCGTGGAGTGCTCTAGCCAGGACTAGGTCTTTCGTTCCAGCATCGTTACAGCAGTGTAATGTGAACCCCCTTTTAATTCCAACCTATTCCCCTTTTGGACTACTTTTAACCCGCCACCTAACCCCATCCAGCTACTCTCTTGTTCTAAGCCCACCCACTGACACTCACCCAGCCGCGTGGCGCGCTCCGGCGGCTTTGCGGGCCTATTCCCAGTCCCATGCTCGGCCTCGAGCTCCTCCTGTTGCTGCCGCGCTTGCTGCAAAATCCGTCGGCTCAGCCGGGGCCCCACGTACTCTTCCTCCTCTTCGGTTCCGCGACCCCGCCGCTTTTCTCGGGCCCCTGCCCGCACGGAGTCCTCAGCGAGAATCTGGTCTGCCAGCGGCGCATGCTTTTCCTTACTTCCAACCCCACGGGTGGCCTTGAATTTAGGCATTTTCTTTGAAAAAGTTCCTGAGAGAGTTCTCACGTGGAGATGGCAAAAAAGCTCCGAGTGCGCATGTGCGGTGAACTCCCAGTGCCCTAAAGACCAGGCAGAGATCACAGCGCCCTCGAGTGTTCGGAGGCCAGAAGTGCCACCAGCGCCACACCTACATTCAAACAGCCCCCGGGTCCTGGAGCGGGACACCCTGGATCCACAGATAAACTTATTGTCTTTAATTTGAGTTTAACTAAGTGGTAGCGGCCTAAGCCACACTTTCCAAGCTTCAGGGATCTAAGGCCTGGAAGTCCTGCCAAAGGGGAATTTCCGGTGCTGCAAGCGTGGGGGCGGGAGCCGGGCGAATGACGTCACTGTAAACGTCATCGAGGGAGTGCTCAGACACCTCCCCTTGCCTGTGGACGCGTCGCCTCGGCGCCGGGTTTTTACGTATTTCCGGAGCCCCTTCCGTGACCGTTCTTGTGGACTGCAGCAGAGCTCTCCGCTATACTGTTTGATCGTGGCACCTCCTGGCCCGCCGCCATGGGAGTGACTTGGTAGGACTACCAGGGCTTTTGTGGGGCGAGGCTAGGGGTCCTGAAGAGCCTGGAGTAACCGGGGAGAAGGATCTGGACCATGGTCCGCCGATTCCTGGGAGCTGCGCAAGCTGCCCTCGAGTGGTGTGAATAAAGAGGACACTGAAAGGGCCGCGGGTTCTCCGGCCTTATTTCTTCAGTGATGCTCCCTTCATCCTGGCAGGTGGCAGGGCAGAGGTTATGTACCTTCTCTCCTTTTTCTTGGTACCTGTTTCTACACATTAGGCCTTAGTACTGTCAGGAGTGGGCTTTCAGGGTTGGAAATAGGATTTCCGGACTAGGACTCAACTGCAGACAACGCTTGGAGGGGGACAGCATTTTTTATTTTTTGCACCACCGTAGAATCAGCAAATATAGTTAGATCAGTCGATTTTGACTTGGCCATTTTAAGATCTTGGGTCTAGAGAGAAAAAAGAAGCCATTGGCAATTAGGAGATCGGGATTCCAGGCATTTCACCTATTCAGGACCTGTTTCCTACAGTATTAATTACATGGTTGATCTAGATTCGTGGGACTCTTTGTCTCTAACATGTTATCTCAGATGGAAAAGGCTATGTGGCAGGAAAGGTATGGGTTCAATGCTCTTATGGGCGTTAGTCCCAAGTGCAAGGTCTCAGAGGACTTCTCCTTCTCCCCCACCCCCGCTTTTATTTATTTTTTAAAATCTTGTTAGGCTGAATATCTTTCCAGTTAGCCCTGGAAGCCAGGATATCTGAAGTCAGGGCTTTAGACTTTTTTTTTTAAAGTGTGCCTGTGGGAAATGCTTTTCTTTATGGTGGCCCAGGCTCTAATAGATTTCTCAGTGATTGCCTCAGATTTTTTTTTTTTTCTCCTCACAGTTGACATCACAATCCTCCTCCCTGTCCTCTCATGTAAGGAAGTGTGTGAGGGGTGGAAATGGGAAGGCCACAGTGCAGAGGCTTGGAACCTCAGGGAAAGGGCTCTCTTTCTGTTAGCTCTACCTTTCAAACTTTTTGGAGTCTCAGAATTTCTGTTCCTTGCATCAACAATTTAAGGATCCTTTTATATTTCAAAATAAGTCAGGTCATCAGCATTGCTTCTCAGTACTATTTCTGACACAGTAGTGACAATTTTTAGTAACAGTTGGACTCTACCTTAATAGATTCATTGAGTTGATAATAAGGTAATGTAGTCTCCCAGAATTCAATCATGTGTGACTTTATAATTGTTATATAGCTAAGTACTACTTCTGCTATCATTTATTTATGTATGTTTTTATGGGCATTGAAGTCTACCACTGAGCTATATATCCCCAACCGTTTTAAACATTTGAGGCATGGGGGCTGGGGTTGTGGAAAAGTGGTAGAGTGCTTGTCTAGCATGTGCAAGGCACTGGGTTTGATCCTAAGCACAACATAAAAATAAATAAAATAAAGGTACTGTGTCGAAATACAACATATGTATGTTTGTGTCTATATATATATAGATACAAACATACACACACACACATATATATATACACATCCACATTTAAAAACATTTGAGGGAGGGTCTTGCTGAATTTCCCAGGTTGGCCTCAAACTGTAATCCTCCTGCTTTGGCCTCTTGCTGGGATTATAGGTATGCATCAGTACATCCAGCTTTGTACTATTATTTACTAATATTAAAAGAAATTGGACTCTTTTCCTTAAAAATATTTTAACAGGCAACCACATCCCTAGACAGGCAGTCTAGTCTAGTGACTGAGAACATGGACATGGAGCCAGGATGCTTGGCTTTTGAAACAGGGTCTTGCTAAATTACTGAGGCTGGCCTCAAACTTGGGATTCTCCTGTCAGGCATGCACCACAGTGCCTGGCTAGGTTTCCTGGCTTTGAATCTTGGCTACATCTGCATTAACTGAGTGACTTTATACAAGTTATTAATTTCTTTGTACTTTAGTTTTCTCATTTATAATAAATTGATAAATGACAGCATCTTTCTCAGGTGCAGTGGTACACACCTGGTAATCCCAACAACTGAAGATACTGAAGTAGGAGGATCACAAGTCTGAGTCTAGCCTTGGCAGTTTAGCAAGATTATGTCTCAAAATAGAAAAACATTGAGAAAGGATTGGGGATATTGCTTAGTGGTAAATTCCTCAGTAAACCCCCCCCCCAAAAAAAAAGGCAGTACCTATCATAGGGCTGTTGGGAGGATTCAAAGAGTTAAGTCATTGAAAGCCTTTGGACACTGCTTGGAACATAGTTGGTGCTGGGCAGATGTGACCTATCACTGAAAGCCACACCACGGGAGGAAATTTGGAAGTAACATTTTTTGGTCATTGTTTTGATTAAATTCTGTAAATACCATTGCTTCTCACTCCCCAAAATTATAAACCCAAGGCATGCTTTCTTTTTGTTCCCAGGACTGTCAGAGGGAACTTTCCATGATCCCAGCAGTGTTCTTTATCAGCACACTGTCTGCCAGCTGCTTGTGACTTGTGGCTGCAGGACTAGGCAGCTCCAATTCAGAGTTGGTAGAAGTATGCTCACCTAAAACTTCAATTTCTCTTTTGTATAGTTGGAATTGAAAGGGTTGTAAGGGATTTCCTTTCTCTCTGTGTGAATTAATGTTGTTGAATGCTCAGTTTGTGTGTAATTTAGAGTCTTCACATAAACATGGGCACACAAGCCATGCTTGGGAAATGCTGGTGTGAGTCCTGAGACCTGTGCTCTATTCTCAGATGAGTTATGAGGGACTCTGTGCCTCTGTTTCCTCATCTCTAAGGTGTGGTCAACATAGGTTTTCTTTAAGGTAACTCTTATTCCTGCTCAGCTGTCCTTTGGTGGGAGAATGGCTCAGCCAGTGCATCTTTGGATGCTGATGACTTGTTACTCTTCTTTCCAGTGTGTCCCAGATGCCTGTGGCTGAGGGCAAGAGTGTGCAGCAGACAGTGGAGCTTCTCACCCGAAAATTGGAGACGCTTGGGGCAGAGAAGCAAGGAACATTTTGTGTGGACTGTGAGACTTACCACACTGCTGCCTCTACCCTTGGCAGCCAAGGTTAGTGAGATGGAAGTGCCTGGTGGGTGGAAACTGGCTTCTTCTATTTTAAGTCATGGGGTTTGTAATAAGGCTTCCAGCATGTTAGGCAAGTATTCTACACTGAACTATATCCCTAACCCTTTTTAAAATTTAATTTTATTGGGGCCGGGCTGTCACTCAGTGGCAGAGCATTTGCCTAACATGTGTGAGGCACTTTGTTTGATCCTTAGCACCACATAAAAATAAATAAATAAAATATAGGCATTCTATCCATCTATGACTACAAAATTTTTTAAAAATTTAATATTATTTATTTATTTTATAGTACTGAGGATTGAACTCAGGCACATTCTACCACTGAGTTAATATTCCTAGCCCTTTTTTTAAAAACATTTTTTAAGTATTTTATTTTATTTTTTTTAGTTGTAGATGGACACAATACCTTTCATTGATTGATTGATTGATTGATTGGCTTTTGACCAAGGCATTTATTTTTCCCAAATAAATGCCTTGGTCATTTTCCCAAATAAACACCCCAGTTTACAGAGTCCCACATTTAAATTAGAAATCCTCGTGTCTTCCATTCCCAAGGTAAGGAGAAATGGTATCAGGAGGACCAGAACATGTGAAGCTCTACTCTACTGCAGGCCAGGGGCTGGCCAGAGACTAGCCAAGAGGTGTCTGCACTGGCTTCAGAATAGCACTATGATGAGGAAACAGTCCCTTCTATCCCTGGGCTCCAGTCAGTGAGAAGAGGTCCCCCACTTTGCCTGTGAGGCTGCTACCCAAGGTCCAGAGGCCTCAGCCTCTTGCCTGCAGTTTGCACCTGGGAAAACCCCCCAAAACCACCAGCTTCTCCAGTGTGGCAAGGGGAGCGTCTCTCTCTGTCTCTCTAGGGTTCTGCCCCCACCCCAGGCTCTGGGCGAGGGACACAGATGGGATGGGGGTGAGGTATCTCAGAAGCTGTGGGCACAGAGGACGCAGCAAGGAGCAGAGCAGGAGTAGCAGGCCACAGCACAGTGAATGTTTGTTTCCCAGCAGGAGGAAGACATACTGCAGGAGGGACTCAGCCTCCCACGCAGGGCCCTCAGCATCCAACACAGTGCTGACCCCTATCCTGTAAATTAATGAACATTAATTTACAGGATAAATAAAAGGAACAAAACCTCCAAAGGTGGGAAAAGCAGAGGAATAAAAGCTGAGCCCCAGGGAGCCCTCTATAGACCCCCAGAGAACCAGTGTGACCAATGCCAGCTTCCTATGGGGTGGCTGGCAGAGGAGAGGGCACAGCCCAGGGCGGCACAGGGAAGACCAGGTGGGTGGGAGAATGACACGTGGTCCAGCATGTGCTGCTGCAGGCCTCTGCACATCTGTGTGTGTGGCCAAGAGCATGCCCAGTCTCAGTGGGGGCAGGAAAAGGCCAAGGCCAGTGCCAGAGCAAAGGAGGCAGGAAAGAGTCCTTTGGAGAAAAATGGCAGCCAGATGGCCCATGTGGCTTTGGAGGGATAAGGACGTGGGGTGGTCTGCATATTGTGTCCATTAGAAAAAGCAGCAGGAAGATTTGGTGTTGTGTTGCTTGAGTTCTAAGGCAGCACGATGACTTGGGAACCGTGTCCATGAGAGAAATAAGGCTGCAGGGTAGTCTGTGTACCGCATTCTTTGAGGAACAGGCAAACCTGTTAGAGCAGGACTCATCTGTTGGGGGAAGGCTCACATGGAGGCCCCAATGCAGCCAGAGGGTGGGAGCCCCCAGGCAGGGGCAGCAGCTCCTGGTCAGGCTATTTGTTGTCCATCATCATCTTTGCTCTCAGAGTGTTTTGGAGGTCGTTGGGCTGTCTTGGATTCTTCCCCATCTCCATCCTGGTCCTCAGCTCCTGCATTCTCCTCTTCACAGCTCTGTTTGATCTTTCTCCAGCACAGGAAGGCCAGGGCCACCAGCAGTGCAATGAGACAGAGAGCCCCACAGTCACCCACAGGGCCTCAGGGGGGAATGTCATGGGCTATCCTGTGATGGTGACAGAGCCACGTGCGTCCTGCTGCAGCACAGGGTTGGGCACCAGCCAACTGTAGGTGCTATCAGTGCCCAGCACCACCTTCAGCACACTGCGCCCGTCGAACAAGCCTTTCTTGTTGGCCATCTGCGACGTGGTCACGTTGCCAGTCAAGGATGCACCCTGCCCATCCTGTGGAACACCTCAGCCTCAGGGTAGCCCTGGTGACTGTCCCCAGGTCCTTGCTGGGCTCCATGGTCACGCTGGGTTTTGAATAGGGGGCTGCCACCTGCAGGCTGATAGCAGCACTGCCAAAGTCCCGAATGCTTAAGAAGCAAGTGAAGCTGCTTTCATCAGCCACATGTACACCTTGCAGCCTCAGGAATGTGTTGCCCTGTGCCAGCAGGTCTGGGAAGAGCATGGTGCGGTTGGCATAGGCTCTGCCCTGGTCCCGGCCCTCAGCAAAGCTATGCACCAGCTGTTTGGTGTCCGTCAGCTGCCAGATGAGGTTGAGCTGTACCAGGCTGAAGCCAGGCTCAGGTGAGAAGGAGCAGTGCAGGGTGGCATCAGTGCCCACCCAGGGCTACCACCGGGTCTTCAGGGTTCTGGACCTCCACAGCTCCTGTGAGGCAAAAGCACAGTACCTCCAGGGCTGTGCCCACACGTGCACCATGCCAGGGCTGACCAGTCTGTGCAGCATCTTCCCGTGATGCTGGTGGAGCGCAGCCGAGTTGCCGCAGTGGCTGCGAGGCCTGGCCCTAATCTCCTTTATTTATTTTTATGTGGTGCTGAGGATTAAACCAGCACCTCACATGTGCTAGGCTAGTGCTCCACTGCTGAACTCAATCCCAGCCCCTCCAGCCCTTTATATTTCTTATTTAGAGACAGGGTCTCTCCAAGTTGCCAAGTCTGGCCTAGAATTTGCTATCTCCTGCTTCAACTCTCCCTGAATTTCTATGATTACCAGCATGCCTCACCATGCTGGGCTCTAAGGGTGATATTCCTTTTTTTTATATATATATATATTCATTTCTAGATGGACACAATGCCTTTATTTTATTTATTTTTATGGATTGCTGAGGATTGAACCCATTGCCTCACATATGCTATGCAAATGCTCTACCACTGAGCCACAACCTCAGGCCCCCAGGGTGGTATTCTTGAACATGTGGGAGAATGTGTTTCTGAATTCATTAATTCTTTGTTTTTTTGTGGTGCTGGGGATTGATTCCAGGGCCTTGTGCATGCAAGGCAAGCACTCTACCAACTGAGCTATATTCCCAGCCCTAAATTCATTAATTCTTGATCCTTTATCTCTTAGACTGGGACTGTTTTGATTTTTCTGTAGACTGAACTTTTTTAAAGCTTGGTGAAGTAAAATTAACATACACACAATTGAACACATTTAATGTGTATATCTTAATGAATATGGACACATACATACACCTGCACCAGAACCAACATATTAAATATATCTATCGCTTCCAAAAATTTCCATGTGACCTTTTTTTTTTTGTGTGTGTGTGTATGTTTTATCTGAACTCTTAATACAGTGCTTCTCAGAGGATTGGTTGTTAAGGAACCACATCAAGTAACAAATAATTTTCTTATACATTTCTTGTTAAATAAAGGTGCACATGCTTATTAGTTGACTGGTATTTCGGACCTCATAATCTACATTTTTTTTTTCATCAGAAATTTATTAGTTGCTCAAAACATTACACTGATGTTTTTTTTTTTATCAGAAATTTATTAGTTGCTCAAAACATTACATTGATCTTGCATAATCTACATTTTAACAAGCTTCTCATTTGGAAGATTGGATGGATCTTGGATCATCTGATCCTTATGCAATCAGAAGTCTGAGAGACTTTGTTTTAGACTCAGAAGTCTTTGTATATTATTTATTTAGAGCTTTAGAGTTTGTACAGCCTTCTGTGTAATCAGTGACCTTGACTACCTCTATACCATAACCTTGACCAGTGAATCAATTTTTGTATTTTTAGTGTATAAGGTGGTGAGATGGGGTGTGGATGGTGTGGTCATGGTAGGGAAGGAACATGATCTTTGAATATGAGTTAACCTTGACCCCGGACAGTTTCATCATACAGAGGTTATGATCATGGAGCCACAAGTCACAATTCTTAAGTCTTGGCTCAAACTAGGTAAGTTCCACAATCTATGTGGAACTTTTTGTAGGACCCTTCTACTTACCTTTGGTCAGTGAAAGGCACTGGGGAAGACCAGAGAATGGGAGAAAGGGAAAATACAACATTCTCTATGCTTGGGCATTGTCTTTAACTTTGGTGGCATCTCCTCCTTGATTCTGGCTCCTGCTAGGCAGATCTCATTCCTGGCTCTGATAAAAGCACATTTCTTTCTCCTTCCAGCCCTAGGGGAAGTAGGGGGTCCTATTTCATCTGTGGGTAGCTTCATCCTCCTGTTTGGTTTTTCCAGTCTTCCATCTCCTTATTTGTTCCCTGTATAAGCTCCCTCTACTGATACTATCTGGCATGGACTGTGTTTTTAGATTTTCCTAAATCCAGTTCCTTCATGTAGAAAATGAACATAAGTAGTATAAGTAGTATGTTCCTGGTGTTGTGCTAATTAATTACATAAGTTATTACACGTTAGAACTGAGGTTCTCATGTAATATTTAATAAATGGTAGCTGAGAGCTGTACTTACTGAGTTGCATCTTTGATAAAATTATAGTGCTATCATTTGTTTTGCTTTCACCAGAAAGAACCAAAGAATCCAGGGATAATGACAATGAATGCATTTGGAAAAGAAAACATTTGTATATGGATAGAAGATGGCATATTACTTCTAGGGAAACTACCCTCTAGGGAAACTATCTCTTGATCAGACCCTTGCTTTTAATGTACAGTGTAGTTGGGGAGACAGAACACAGTGGTGGCAAGCAGTGGGGATAGAATGAAGAGCAATAAACTTGGAGTTCCAGTTCTGTTGCTTTTTGCCTCTGTACCTTGAGATCTGTGATTGTCACATTGGCCAGCATTAGCCTCATCTGGGGAGTTTGTTAACTTGCAGATTGGTGGGTCTCATCCCAGGATTTCTGATTAGAAGGCAAGGGTGACAAGAATCTGCATTTCTAACAAGTTCCTAGGTAACTCTGCTGCTATTGCTGCTGATGATCTGACACCTTAATTGCATTTTCTTTATCTATAAAAGGGGGAATGGATAATGCTGGTTCAGCTTGCTTCACATGGTTGTGCAGATATAAAAAGACTTTGTTGTGATTTAAAAAAAATAGTGTTGTCTGTAGTAACCACATGTTTCTTCCTCATTTAAAAAAGTCATGAATCCAGCTAGGCCTGGTGACATATGCCTGTATCCCCAGTGACTTTGGAGTCTGAGCAGGAGAATCACAAGTTTAGGCCAGCCTTAGCAACTTAGGGAGGCTATAAGCATCTTAGGGAAACTGATAAAAAATAAAAAGGACCGAGGTGTGGCTCATGGTAAAGGGCCCCTGCATTCAATCCCCAATACCTAAATAAATAAGTCATGAACTGGGCTCAGTGGTGCATACCTGTAGCTCCAGCTATTTGAGAAGTCAAGGTGTGAGGATCATTTGAACCTAAGAGTTCAGATGCATCCCAGGCAATATAGTGAGTCCCTGTCTCAAAAAATTTATCCAAGTTTTATAAATTTATAAAATTTATACATACATACATACATACCACGGATGGAACCCAGAGGCACTTAACCACTGAGCCACATCCCCAGCCCTTTTTATTTGGAGATAGGGTCTTGCTAAATTGTTTAGGGCCTTGCTAGGTTGCTGAGGCTGGCATTGAATTTGTGATCCCCCTGCCTCAGCCTTCTTGAGCTGCTGGGATTATAGGTGTGCACTACTGCGCCCAGCCTCCTTAGATGCTTTAAAATATTTCTAAGACAGTAACAACACGTGTAGACTCATTTAGTATGAATTAAATGTGTAATTACAGTGAGTTCATGAGAAGAGAATAAGAAGAGCAGCTTTGGATGGCTTTTCTATAGAGGGTATGTTTTTGCTGTGCTGGGGATGGAATCCAAGGGCCTTCTGCAAGGGGTGGCCAGCACTCTGCCACTGAGTTACATCTCCAGCTGCCTAGTTAAGATGTTTTGAATGGTTTTAAAACTGTGTGAATTGGCAGCTAGTGGGCAGGAGGAATATGGGGTGGAGGTTCTCTGCAGAGCCTGCTGTGCTCAGGAGGTGGCAGTAGAGTGGAGGCCTATGTAGTACAGGGAAGTCACACTGGCCTCTGTTCTCCTTGGCCTGCCTGCCATCTTCTCCCTTTCCATTGCTGCACTCTAATCCTTGTCTAACATGTCCTCTTCATGCTCTTTGGGGCAGAATCTCATGCTTTTTTCATTTAAAACACTTCAAATCCTTCTTTAAAGTGTGTGTGTGTGTGTGTGTGTGTGTGTGTGTGTGTGTGTTGGGGGGCTCTTTCCCACTTTGATCTCTTCCTAAAGTTATTCCTCCCTTCCAAAAGCCAGATTATCCTTTTGTTTTATTTTGTTGTCTTCGATCTTTTTAAAATTTTCTATCTGTCTTCCTTGTGAGATTGTCAGCTTCTTGAAAGTCAGGGGCTAAGTCCTCTACTCAGTGTGTCCATTAACTCTTATGGCGTATTAAAGAGGAATCTTGCCTTCCCCTTTTTGCCTTCCTCCATTTTCTACTTAACCAAATAAATGTAGTTTTCCCTCCTTGCAGCAAACCTAAGAAATTCATTTAAAAAGAAAACTTGCCGGTTGTAGTTCACGCTTGTAGTACTAGTGGCTAAGGAGGCTGTGGCGGAAGAAGGATCACGAGTTCAAAGCCAGCCTCTAAGCAAAAGCGAGGCACTAAGCAACTCAGTGAGATCCTGTTTCTAAAATAAAATACAAAATAGGGCTAGAAATATGGCTCAGTGGTTGAGTGTCCCTGAGTTCAATCTCCAGGACCAAAAAAAAAAAAGAGAGACAGAAAACTCATTTCTCAGAGACTAGAAGGGGTGAGCTAGGGTTTTAAACTAGATCTTCTGAGCCCAGACCCTGAATTCTCTATGCTATAATGGGATGCTTGCTTCCTAAGTTAGCTAGACTTCTTAAAATTCTCTAAGGGCTCACCCTTGGTTCTTGAGGCATGGCAGGCAAGACTGATCACAGCTTGTCTCTGGGCTACCTTTCCAGCCTTGTACTCACTTCTTTTTCCTGCTTCTTTGGACCTATTTTCTTGATGTCAAAGGGGGAAAAAGTCAAGGTAGTTAAGGGACAGAAGAAATGAGTAGTTGCTTCATTTGACATTCCTCAATGTTATTTATTTTGCTTATTATATAGTATAATCATAATATACAAAAGATTTTGTGAAGTTTCTGCTGAATCAGTCACCATAATTAAGCATCCATCTGTGAGCTCACCATGTACCTTAACATTTAAACTATTAACACTCCCAGAGCTCCCTTTGTGTCAGAAAGGGGTGGGCTGTAGCCCATGGTGCCTGGCCTTTTGTTCCTCTGCTTCCCTCTATGGAAAAATCTGTCAGGGAACTCCCTTCCCCTCTCAGACTGCCAGAGTAGCGCCAGATTGCTGTCTGGCCTTTTCCCATGTACCTAACCATGCTGGGGTGTGCCAGTGCAAGTCCTGATGATGAGTAGGATGTCTGTCTCTTACAGGTCAGGCTGGGAAGCTGATGTATGTGATGCACAACTCGGAGTATCCACTGAGCTGTTTTGCCCTCTTTGAGAATGGCCCTTGCCTTATTGCTGACACCAACTTTGATGTGCTCATGGTGAAGCTCAAGGGTTTTTTCCAGAGTGCCAAGGCCAGCAAGATTGAGACCCGGGGTACCCGTTACCAGTACTGTGACTTCCTGGTGAAGGTGGGCACGGTCACAATGGGGCCCAGTGCCCGGGGCATCTCTGTGGAGGTAAGACCTTGGGGAACTAGAAGCAGGAGGTACTGGGGGTGCTGCTTAGCAAAAGGCTCTCAAAGTAACCCAGCCTTGCTCAATTCGAACAGGCTCCAGTGCCTGCTGCAGTCCTGGGGATTGAACCAGTGGTGCTCTACTATTGAGTTTTTTTAATTTTTTGAGACAAGGTCTCATTAAATTGCCTAGGCTGGCCTTGGACTTGGTATCCTCCTGCTTCTACTTCCTTTGTCACTGGGATCATAGGCATGGGGTACCACACCTGGCCTCTTATCCTTTCTTCAATCATTCATTTAATTGCTAGCCCAGAGAGGAAGTGAAAAGCAGCTTTACAGCAAATAGTAAGCTTAGACAGGCTTTTTTAAAAATTCAGGTGTAGGATGCCGCAGTCTGGCTGGGCAAAAATCATGAGCCATTCAAGCAGGAACAAACTTTATTTCCAAAACTCCTCGCACGCCGACCTTCTCCCGGGGACACACCACACCAACAGGAAATCCTCCCTCCTACAGCACTTCCCCAACCAATGGGAACTCTCCGGGAGTCCCTGGGAGAGCTCCAAAATAGCAGGCGGAGGCAGACAGCAGGTTCTAATATCCAATTGAATGCACATCTTAACATAATCATTATCATCTCAATGGCTAGCTGGGTCACCTTTCAACCAAAAATGCCATGCGTCATTCCTACTGGACTATGGCCCTCTGCAGTAGGATTTGTTCAAGTGTGAAGAACTGAAACAGAACTCTCTGCAGGGGCAAGAGGGGACCTGATAGCAGGTTGCCATGGACAGGCTGACTTTCTAGAGAAGGAAAGGAATGGTTGAGGGAGGCAGGTAAGATTTTTTTTAAAACCTTTTTTTTAAAAAATATTTTTTTAGTTGTAATTGGACACAATACATTTGTTTTATTTATTTTTATGTGGTGCTGAGGGTTGAACCCAGTGCCTCGCATGTGCTAGGTGAGTGTTCTACCGCTGAGCCACAACCTGGCCCTGGCAATCGAGTTTTGATGTGGAGAGAGCAACACCTCTCCCATGAAGGACTGGGACAGACCAGTGTAACATTCAGAACAACTTTTGGGATGTGGGCCTCAATCACATGCGTACACACACCTCTCCTTAGTATGCTTTGAGAAAAGACTCCAAAGTCTTGAAGTAAAAATGTACCTTTCCTTTTGGCATACTGTTTTTTTTTTTTAATATATTTATTCTTAAGTTTTGGGTGGACACAATATCTTTCTTTTACATTTATGTGGTGCTGAGGATCGAACCCTGTGCCTCGTGTATGCTAGGCAAGCACTCTACCACTGAGCCACAATTCTAGCCCCCTGTCTGTTTTGTATCATGGTAGAAAAAGGTACATTTCTTCTAATTCTTTTTTTAAAGTTATATATGGATACAATTGATCTTTATTTTTTTATTTACTTTTTATGTGGTGCTGAGGATCAAACTCGGTGTGTCACATGTGCGAGGCAAGCGCTCTGCCACCGAGCCACAACCCTAGCCCCATGATTTCATTTTTGAGCCAAAATATTAGAAATGGCAAAGAGAAAGTGTGGTGATAGCTGGCTCTGGGAACAGTGAAAGTCCACAACTTACTGTGTGCCCAGTGCTGTATGAGATTTTAAAAAAACAAGCTTACTGGGCCTGTCTTTCAAAACTATCATTTTAAGAGAGAAGGCTAAATATACAAGCTGTTTTTGAAAATAGACTAAGAAATGCTATCTAAAAGGCACCATGTACTTTGGGAACTCAAGCTAGTGAGAGCCCTGCCTACTGTGGTCATGATGCTGCCTGGAGGAGCAGCTTGTAAGTAGGGACTGAATATGTCCAGATCTGGGGTCAGGTGAGTCTAGGCATCATCCCAGGTACAGAAAAAGCCCCTGGAGTGGTAGTTTCTGCTTAGGAACTTCTAGGGCCAAGATTTCTCCACCCTGCTCAGTTTGTGACAGACTTTGACTTGCTGAGACGCACGAGACTGGTTATCCTTCACATTTCTAGCTTCACAGCACATGTACATCCACCTGTTTCCTTACTTCTTTCTCCTTACAGTTGCCAGTGATTTTCCCCTCCCATCTCTCCAGTGAACATTAGGAGAGAGAATGAGAAAACCTGAGGTGTTTATTAGCCTTTGGCCCCTCTACGTTGGCTGGGAAAGTCTTTCTCAGTAGAGCTGGGCCTGGGTTACCTTGGGAGCCATGTTTGCTATTGAGGAGACTCATGTGTTGACTGCCTTCTACTTACCTCTCATCCACTTCCTGTCCCCCCACATTTTTTTTCTATGTTGTCTCAGAATTTTCCTGAGATCTCCTTGAATCATCACTTAACATAGCAGGGACTTCACAAACCTGAGATAATTAAAATATTCCCTGCTTGTGGGCAGGGCTGTGGGTTCTCACAACTCCAGAATGAGAACGTTGAGAAACTCCTAATGGGAATGCTGCTGAGTGCGTTGAAGCCCTTGTTTGGGGTGAGTGGACAGTACTGTGCTAGAAGTTGTGCCTTTGGCTTAGGGTTGGTGAAGATGGTAGGAGGGAACAGGAGGCATGAGGGAAGCAGACCTTGTCCTTGCCCCCACTCATCCTCACTCTGCTCTTTTCATCCCAGGTGGAATATGGCCCCTGTGTGGTGGCTAGTGACTGCTGGAACCTGCTCCTCGAGTTCCTCCAGAGCTTTCTAGGCAGCCACACGCCAGGGGCTCCTGCAGTGTTTGGAAACAGACATGATGTGGTCTATGGCCCCGCAGATACCATGGTCCAGTACATGGAACTCTTCAACAAGATCCGCAAGCAGCAGCAGGTGCCGGTGGCAGGAATTCGTTAGTGACTGGCTATTGCTGGCTGAGTTGTCACCATGTGTACTGCACAGCAGGAGCAAGGGCTGTATTCTCAAGGATCTGGACGCTAGAAACCCAGGGCAGACATGGAAGCTTCTCTCCCTCTGATTCCCAGCTGTGGTTTTTGCCTGGGGCTCTGGACTCCCCTCCCTTGACCCCCATATGCAGCCCTCAACAGCTGTCTTACCCAACGCCTTGCTGGATTTGTTCTGTCCTCAAGAATGGTAATTATGAAGAATGGAGAAGTTTGGACCTTTCCTGCTATAGGGGAAAAGGTAGGACAGGGTGTCCCTGCCTAGTGTTGGAGGGAAAAACAATGTGTACCTTCAGCTGTTGAGGATTTGACCTGGGCCCAAGTGGCTATGTTATGCTTCATGTTGGGCTGTGCTGTCCTGAAACCCCCTCCCCTCTACTCTAGTAGAGGGACAGCACAGCTGGTAGGATGGCTCTCATTTTTGACCTGTTCATGGAAGTGACTTGTGACATGGCTTTCCTAGGGCATTGCCTGGGTTCTTTGAACTCTCCTCTTACATCTTTCCCTTCCATTGTGGATTACATGATGCAACAGAATTCACTACTGTGCAGAACCAGAAGGATGGGTTCTTACGAGATAGAAGTCTGTTTTTGTATTATCTAATAGTTTCAGAGATAATCAGGTGGTTGGGCAGATCTAACTCTACAAAGTCACCAGGAACTCTTGTTTCCTTATGTCTTATTTTTCAGCCACCCCCAGAATATTATCTTTAAGCAAACTCACTGGCCCCATTGTCCACTGGAAGGACGGGGAAGGATGAAGAGAAAAGCAGTTTCTTTTTTAAAGGTTATGGTCTGGAATTGCTCAGATCACTGTGGCTACACTTTGCTAAAAGGGCTGCTAGGATATAGAGCCTTTTATCTGGGCAGTCATGGCCCAGTTACAGCTCAGAGGGTTCTGTGACTAAAAGGTGAAGGGGATAGGGATGATGGGGCCCATTTAGTGGTTTCTGCTACATGAAGCTCAATGAACATGTCAGGAATGCTCTTGGCAGCTATTTCTTGATTATTACGCCCTATAACAAAGGCATCTGCCTTATGAGTTGGATTGAATAATGACTGATCCCATAGCCTCTCGGGGTTTATTGGAAGTTAGCTGTGCACCTCTCTAGCACTCAGAGGTTAGTATTGACCATGATATTTGCAGCATGCTTCACGGTTCCCTGAAGTCTTTGTCCTTGCCTCATTTCAGCCCCAAGCTGCTCATTTGACTTGAACTGCTTGCCTATCTGACTCCTGGTAGAGAAATATTCAGCCAGGCTGGGCATGCTGACACATGCCTAGTATCTCGGCAGCTTGAGAGGCTGAGGCAGGAAGATTGCAAGTTTGAGGCTAGCCTGGGTGATTTAGTGAAACTCTGTCTTAAAAAATAAAAAAGGACTGGGATAGTAGCTTAGTGATAAAGTACCTCTGGGTTTGATTTCTAGTATCATAGGAAAAAAAAACAAAAGCTCAACCAGGCTACTTTGTGATACATACATAGATCTGGTCTTAGGAAAACTGTTAATATATGCAGTATAGGTTGTTACAAGGATACTGTCCCTCCCTGAAGGCACTAAAGAAAAACTTTTTCTGTGGTACATTTCCACAATAGGAGTCAGGTTACTAGTCCTGTTTCCCTGTAGTTTTGACTGAAAGGAAGCTCAGTTCAGCTTTCTAGCTATAGGGTTGTCATTTATATTTTTTGTATTCACTTCCTGTTTTTGTTGTTGTCCCCATTTATTTTTTTTTTTTTGCTTTTAAAATTTTAAGGTATGTTTTAGGTATAATTTACATGCAATAAAATGTATAGATTTTATGTTTTTGGCTTTCTGGTTTATATTTGCTTTTGTCTGGATCTGGGTTACCTTGGGAGCCATGTTTGCTATTGAGGAGACTCATGTGTTGACTGCCTTCTACTTACCTCTCATCCACTTCCTGTCCCCCCAGGCCCAGCTCTACTGAGAAAGACTTTCCCAGCCAACGTAGAGGGGCCAAAGGCTAATAAACACCTCAGGTTTTCTCATTCTCTCTCCTAATGTTCACTGGAGAGATGGGAGGGGAAAATCACTGGCAACTGTAAGGAGAAAGAAGTAAGGAAACAGGTGGATGTACATGTGCTGTGAAGCTAGAAATGTAGCTGCCTCAACTCTCATATGAAATGAGACAATGTACAGGCAGGATTTTGAATGCATGTGTTCCTGAGAATACAGAAGTTGAGTGTGAGAAATGTGGACCCTACACATGCTGTATAAAAAGGGGCTTGGTTCCCTGAAGCTAAAAAATAGAATAAAATCCCTTCTTATACTTACACTGCCTAGTCTTGGCTTTTACAGATCTAACATTCTACTATTGTGTTTTTTCCCCTTGTTGTTGAGCACACACTTGACCAGCTTTAAGTCCTGTGAATACCAGATCAAGCTTTAAGAATTGCCACTGGACACTTGTGTCCATCTTTGTCTTTTGTATCAGTGAAAGGAAATTCACCACTAAAATAAGCAGGTAATGCAATATATTTCTTAAATATCATAACAAATATGACTCCACAAACAAAGTCATCAATACTGAATTTGTGAGTTGTAGGAAGGGCCCAGATGTCAATCTATATTTGCAAATCTGGATGGGGCTTTTAGATTATTTTTGAATGTACTTGCCAGTGTTCAATTTTTGAAAGGTTAGGTTGGATGAAAGTTTGAGACTATTTTGATAAATTTTATGGAGGAAAACGCATAATTATTCCCACTTTATAAATGAAAGTAAAGGGAGATGCCATATTTGGGAGTTCAAATCTGATGTCTTCCTTCTACCTCTGCTTTACTTTAACCATTTCCTGAGTAAGACCCCTAAAAGAACTAGGAAACTTACAGTCTTGTCAACATGTCACCTTTGTGAGTGATTCTGCCAGAGCTGCATGGAAATCTGCCATCTTTGACTGTCAGAGCTGAGCAGGGCAGCTTTTCAGCTCAACTTCTTTGTTCTCCCTTACCTTAGTGTGGGGAGGCTGTGGCTCTCCAAGAGGCCATGCAGAGACATGAAGGTGGCGTCAGGATCAAACTTCAGGCTCAGGACTCCTGGCTTCCAGCATGTGCCAAAGTGTGCCATCTGTGCCTCTTGGGATGCTAGGTGATTTTAGGTGGAATGTGGGAAATACTTTATACTAGGACTTATGTCTTATTCTAATGTATATGAAGAGAAAATTATAACTACCACTTTATTTTTTAGGATTTGGGTAAGTGTTTTTAAAGGGATCTCTCATCTGTGGTGGTGCATGCCTGTAATCCCAGATACTTGGGTGGCCAAGGCAGGAAGATCCCAACTTTGAGGCCAGCTCTGGCAAGTTAGTGAGGCTATCTGAAAATAAATTTTTAAAGTTTTTAAAGAAGTCTGGGGCTATAGCTTAGTGGTACAGCACTTGCTTAGTAGGCCTGACATCCTATGCTCAATTGCCAACACTACAAAAAACAAATGAATAAATAAATGATCTATTAAGTTATAGTACAGATGATACATGGCAGTGGCAAAATCTAGAGGCACATGCTGGGAAGGAAGCCTCTTATTTATTCTAACTCTGTCTAGTTTGTTTCCTCCATCCATTGATGGTTCCTGCTCTGGCTGTTGCTTTCTTGTTCTCTCATCCTGATGATTCTCTACTCCTGTCCCCACACTGCCTCCTGCTGGCTTTCCTCTGATATTTGAGTGCCAAGCAATCACATCTCCCTTCTCCTCATGACCATTTCTTTTCTGCTGACAGAATTACCTAGAGGCTGACCTCCTCCTTGGCACCAGATCTACCTTGATCCAGTGTCCTGAGGCTTCTGGGAAGGCAGTTAGTGAAGTTTTGTTCTTTAAATCCCGGAGAGCAGGAAAGTAGTTAAAAAGTCCCCTCCAGCATGTGTTTCAGGTGTCAAAAGTTGAGACTCTTAAAATACAAGTACAGTATGTAATAGGCCATGGGGCCAGACATTTCAAGATCAGTCATAGTAGATGTTGAACCAGGCAGGTGGTCGTTTGGTCTCTCTCCCTCTAAGCCCATACCTCTAACACCCACCAATGCTTTTTCCTTGCCAAAAGCCCCCTCTCCACATCTGTGGAGGCTGGGTCTGGGGGCTATAGTCTCCAGTCACTGTTGCATGAATGGCTGAGATCTGTTGTATTACAAATTGAGGCCTCTCCTGAGGGTTTGGTATCTTTGGCCTGTGTGCCCTCACTTTTGGGGTTGGGCTCTCCCCCAGGTGAGTTTCTGCCATTGTGTAGAGCACTCCCAAGTTGCTTGTTACAATGCTCAAATCTTCCTTACACCAAGCCTCCCAGAAGTCAGGCTACCTGGGGTTGGCCTTGTCTAGGGAAATCCTTTCCCTGTGTATTTAATTTTTTTCTCTTTTATTCTGAGACAGAACAAAACATATTTGTCTTTTCCCTCCCAGGTGGTGGAGAATAGATTATGTTTACTTAGGTCATTTATTAGTTCTTGTTGGAATACGAGAGGACTGTGACACTAAAGCTGGGGTTCTTTTTTGTTTGTGTTGTGGATCAAACCCAGGGCCTTGTGTATACTAAGCACATTTTTTTTTTTTTTTGCCTTCCCTTTTTTTTTTTGCTAAGCACATTTTTTTAAGACAGGATCTCACTATGTTGCCCAGGCTGGCCTTGATCCCTGAGGCTCAAGCCATCTTCTGGCCTCAATCTCTAGCCTAGTCCTCAGTCTAAGACTACTGGCTGGTGCCACTGTACCTGGCTAAACAGGTTCTTAAGGAAACTGCAGGTTTTCAGCTCTGTGGATGTCAGACATAGAATCATGTGTATCTTCAGTTTTGGGGAATTGTCTTCTCAATGCTGCTGCTGATGTTTGTGTTTGGTTGGGATGTTTAAGGTGAGAGATTATGGGGTCATTGCTGGGTATAATTTGCCCTTAACACAAACAGTGCTTTTGTAATATAGAATGAATGTCCAGAGAAAGTATTTGCTGTAGGTATATTTTTTGTAATTAGATCAAGCAGTGTTTAGACTGTCTCTGGAATATGGACATTTTTTTGTTGTTCTGGGGATTGAAACCAGGAGTGCTTTACCACTGAGCTCATCCCCAGTCTCTTTTTATTTTAAGACAGGTCTCACTAAGTTGTTGAGTTTTTCACTAAATTGATGAGGCTTGCCTCAAATTTATGATCCTCCTTCTTCAGCCTCCTGAGTCACTGGCCTTACAGGTGTGCACCACTGGTTTGGAAATATGTTTTTAATAGTTATTCATAGTGATGAGGTCTTACTTGTTCTATATCCTGCAGGAAAACAGGCTGGGCTTAAAAAAAATGTAGGATAAAAATAACTATATTTTCAGTGCTCAAGCTTAGTTCTGTCTTTTCAGTGCCATGTGTATTATGATTATGTTGTTAACCAGTTGTGTCTTTAAAGAAAGTCTAGCATTCATGATTCTGATTCCTCATTAACTCTGAAGCTCCATTAAAACTTTTTGTCAGGTATCCCAAATAGTGCTTTCAGATTTGAATTAAAGTAGCTTCTTTCTATTATATCTGCCATCTAATTTATGATTCTCAAACTTATCAGTCTCAGGCTTCTTAATGTTCTTAAAAGGTGTTGTTTATGTAGGTTATATTTATTGATGTTTACCTTATTAAAAACATAAAAAATTAAAATGTTTATCATTTAAAGGTATCAACAAATCCATCTCGTTAATATATTTTTAATGAAACTTTACTATTTGTCCAAACTTTAATGAAGAGTTTATTATTCTATATTTTTGAAAATCTGTTGTGAATGTGTGGCATGCTAGAAGATAGGTGGATTCTCTTATCTGTTTTGGTTGAAGAATATGGAGAAAATGACCTCACACAAATGTATATTTGAGAAAAGGGAGGTATAAATTAATAATTTTTTTCAGAAATTCTTTGATACTACATCTGCTAAAGCGTAGTTGCAATGTAAAATCAAGCTTTTCCTTCTCTATTAATATTCATTGGTTAAATTTACACTTTGAATGGAGTTTTTACTTATGTGTGATTTCTTAGCATCATATGTAGGTCATTTGGGGAAAACTGCAGATCTAAATGTTGACACATTTCTTTAAGCAATGTCAAGAATCACAATCATTAACATCACTACCTGTCTTATTAGGAAAGTCTTGGGAAGCTATCAAACTTATGGTTGCAGATTTGAGTTTTAAAAAATCCTAAATTTGGGGCTGGGGTTGTAGCTCAGTGGTAGAGTGCTTGCCTGGTACATGTGAGGCACTGGGCTTGATCTTCAGCATTACGTATAAATAAAATAAAGATATTATGTCCATCTACAACTAAAACATATATATTAAAAATTCCTAAATTTTGCTTGAAATCTTGAGTTTTATTATTGCAGACACTGTTATTAGTCTTAGCTTTATCTAGAAGAAAATGTCTGTCAAATACCTAGTGAATAACTAAATAGTTAAATGAATAGTTTAATCTGTAAGCCCCCCCCCCTTTTTTTCCCCTTAGCACTGGAGATTGAACTCATCAGGTGTGCTCACCCAGAGCAGTCCTTTTTTTTTTTTTTTTTTTTTTTAAAGACAGGGCCTTGCTAAGTTTCTGAGGCCTGGAACTTGGGATCCTCTAGGCAGCAGGATTTTTACCCATTGTTACTTCTGTGTATTATCAATGCCAGGGTCATCCCAGGGAAAAAGGGCTATACTTCTTACTATTATGAAATTAGTTTTGATCTCAGGGATCCCTTGTGTTTACCAGGCCAGCTTTAGACCCAGTGATCTACTGCATGCTCACAGCCCTGGGGACTGTGTTCCCCCAAAATGCTATTGTGAGAGTACTCCTTCCATCAGAAGTTAAAAGTGGTCCCAAATTATTTCAAAAAAGTATCTTGTTAGGGAACTAACATACTGAGTGAAAATCTTCTCCAAGAGTTTTCTTGGATCGAGGAAGTCAGAGGAGAAAACACGATGAAGAAGTTATAATGTAGGAATTCCTTAAAGATAAGTGTTAAAAGGCAGTAGACAATAAAAGAAGTGCTACCTTGTGATTCTGAGCTTTTGAATCACATGACAAACACCCACCAAACCAAACCATTTCACATCCTCAACTGTCAAACCTCTTCAAAATGCCCGAGTTTACTCACCTTTGAAAATCCTTTCAGTTAGCTGCACTTGGTTTCAGATATTGTAGTTTTCCCTTCTTTTTTTTTCTTTTCCTTTTCAGCTTTTTCGCTTCCGTGTCATATTTATAGATGTGAAACCTTGAACCACTGTGGCTAATAATGTGTACTTGCCTTTCTACTAAGTCTTTGCTGCCTTAGCCCTGTCTTGGGTATTGTAACACTGTTGGTCTCATTTTGTGTGACACCACTTCATCCCCTCCCCGCCCCGCCCCGCCCCGCCCCGGTAAATTATGTCAGGACAATGCGCCCAGGAGACTGCGCAGGAAGGGCGCCTTTTATAGAACTGGCCACTCTTTTCCCATGGTCTCCCTAAGTCCATAAAGCCGCAACGCCCCTCCACTCCCGGCACGTTTTTGTACTGGGAATTGAACCGAGGGGCGCCTAAACACCGAGCCACAAACCCAGCTTTTTTTACTTTTTCTTTTTTAAATTTTGAAACAGGGTCTCGCTAAGTTGCTTAGGGCCTTACAGAATTGCTGAGAATGGCCTTGAACTTGCGATCCTCCTGCTTCAGCCTCCCTAAGCTAGGATTACAGGCGTGCGTCATCGCGCCCAGCAAGACCACAACTATCTCTATCTGGATCTGCTTAATTTCTACCCAGGGTGTTCAGGTTGGCGGGCGTCTTCCTTGGGGGTATTTCCGTAAAACAGCTGAATCCCGCCTGGGTCATCAGTGGCAAAAGTCAAAGACACGTGCTCGCTCGTCTGGGAACCAATAGTAACTTTTGCAAAAGCTGCCTACGGAAACCCCACGGTTCGCAGGCTGCTGCTTCTTTAGGAAGGGCACAGTTAAAAGATAACAAAACAAAAAATGCAAAGACGGGATATAAAGAAAGGCTTTGCCTCTGCAGTGGGGAGAGATGTTAAAGGGCAGCCGAAAAGTATGGGGAACTAACTACGTAAAATTCCTTTACTGTTCCCCGGGATGCAAGGCTGGGGAGAAGGGGGCGGAGAAGGGCTTGGGAGAATCTCTGGCCCTTTAAGGAGGAGGGACGGACAGTAGACTCTGTACCTTTAAGAGTCTCTTTGTCTGGAAACCTTCTTATTTACCCTCTTGTGCTTCAACCAAACTTCGACCGGCGATTCACAGCGCTCTTCTACGCCGCCGCCCCTTACGCCAGGCTTGAGTCGGCCGCGCGTTTGTGGCTGACCCTAAACTTTACGCCGTCGGCAGGAACCTGCAGAGAGGGTGCCGGTGCCGGGGTCGCGGCCCAACGCTGCGCCGTTGGCGCATTGCGGGGCTCAGGGGCGGGGCTCCGGCGGCCGGGCCAATGGGCGGCAAGGGGGCGGGGCCGAGTTCGGTTGTCTCGCGCCCTGGTGACAGCTCGCGCGTGCTGATGATGGCGGTAAATAGAGGGGGGCCGGGGAGGGAGCGGAGGAGGTGGGGAGGCAGCAAAGGGGGTAGCTCCAGGGGGTGGGGGACGGGGGCCGTGGAGGCCGCGACGGTCAGGGAGCCCACTCTGGGACTCGGAGGCGGGGACAGCAATCTCCGGCACACTAGCCCTCCCCCTTAAAGAAGCAAAATCCTCACACACCGGGTGAGGGGCGACAAAGGCGGCGTGCGCCTCGCGGGCGGGAGGAGCGGCGACAGGGGGCGGGACCGCGGCGCCGGCGGGCCGGGGGCGCCCGGGGCGGGGGCCGGCCGGAGGCGAGAGCTGGAGCCGGGGCGCGCGGGCGCTTTATTTTGGCGGGGTGGGCGACCACTGGGTTTGGGTTAAAAGCCTGAAGGGGAGAGGTGAAGCAAGGTTCGGGGGCGGCCGGGGCGACCGGGCTGAGAATGAGATGAGGAGGATTAAGAGGAGAAAGGGTTAGAAGCCAGGGAGAGGAGGAGTGAAAAAAGCCAGGCAAGGAGGTAGGAAGGAGGCAAAAGCCAGGGTGGGCGTTGAGGAAGCCGGACCGGGAATGAGGTTAGGAGACCAGGGCTGGCAAGAGGGATTCTGAGGTTAGGAGCAAGATCGGGAGTCTGAAGGGGAAGGCTTTGAGGGGGTGGTATTGGGGTGAGGGGTCCAGGGGTAAGAGTTGGAAGTGGAAGACAAGGAGGGGCAGAGCTGGGGTAATAGTTGGGAGTATGGGAGAGAGAGTGAATAAGAGCCAGACGTGACAAGGGTGTGAACTAGTGCAGAGCGAGATGAGCTGAAGGGCTAGGACCCGCGGTGGGGTGGGAATGACTGGCGCGTTCTGAGAAAGGTAAGGTTAGTCGGTGGGAGATGGGTGTGAATTCTGGAAAGCGAGGGGCAGCTAATCATACCCTGGACTAGAACCAGGTGGAGTCGGGAATAAGCCCACTAGAAGGGTGAAAGGAAAGATGAGAGATGGGCGTTTATAGGGCAATTCCAAAGGATTAGAAAAACTGAAAGGAGACTAGAGTAAGGGTTTAAGAAGTGATGGTGATCCGGGACAGGATAGCCGAGGAATTGTGTTGATTTAAGAGGTTCAGCAAGATCCAAGGTAAAAACAATGCGGTGAAGAGACAGGACTAAAAGCAGACGGTGAGAGCAGTAAGAAAGAGATGGGCCCCAGGATTTAAAGAATAGAATAGGGATTAAGGAAAGAGAACCGGGTTAAAGGAAGCTGGGGGAGTGTAGATGGATGTACAACTCGGGTAGATTTCGATGGGAGGGAATTGAATGTATCTGGACCCGGGAGATGCTTCAGAAGGTCTGCTAGGGTCAGGGCACAAATTCTGTGGTGAAGGATCCAGTGTAGGGGCCTTGGGTGCAGAAGAGGAGAAACCATGGTGAGTGAAAGGGGACCTAGAGACAGGGATAAAAACTGAAAATGGCTAAAGGTAGGGGGTGCAGGAAAGGAATTCTGTATTGAGAAGTGTGTGTTGAAAGTGTGAGTCCTTTTGTCCTTAAAAGTAGGAAATTCCAGAAACCTCTTTCTCTCTTAAAGGAATTTTGAATCCACTTCCATCTTTCATTGCTTTTAATTCAACTTACATGTCCACTTTGAAAAAGATGAGACCCATTTTGATTTGATTTTCTTCTTGTGTGAAGGATAAAGTGTCAACTTTGGATACAGAAAATCTTTGCATTTCATTAATGCTGTGACAATGGGAGGATAGGTTGTGTTTATTTACAATGTGCCTGTGAAATGTGATAGTTTTGGTGTTGTAGCAGTGTTGTACCTGACAAGTGCTGGGCAGGGTGCTTTATCACCAGCATTTCCGTTTTCACTAGAGAATGCACTATTGTTGGAATAGAGAAACATGAGAATCTTTTTGTTTTCCAGTAATCAATCAGGTTTCTGCTTGTTTTCAGTGACTGGAGAATATTGAGAAATCATTTCATAGAGAGGCAGATAATCAACCTAGGAAGTTTACTGGGAAAGAGATTTAAACCAGGGCTTTGAGGGCATTGAGTGCCTAAGCTGCCTTTAGCTCTGTGTGGGACATTTCATACTCTGGTACACTGGTTTCACTAAATGAAAGGAAAGGAATTGCAGAGTTGTGGAGGATTTTAGAGTAGTGGAATTATCTTTTATGTTAAACAATGAATTTATGAGTAATTTTTATACAAAAAAAAACTCTGCAAGATAATACTACAAACTGATGCCTTGGATAGCTCCACTGCCTGATTTTCTAGAAGTTTTGACTTGTAAGACACTTTTGGAAATTAAGAGGAAGATAAGAAATTTGGGACAAATTTGGGTTATAGTATTTTGCTTAAATGATTTGAAGCTTTTATGTTTAACTCAGAATATAAGTGAATACTAACTTTGCATTTGATGGTGCCAAGGTATATAATGTACTTTGGAAAAATGCAAACTGTTCTAGAGAATCTTATTTGGGATTATTTCATTAGTGTACATTCAGATACCCAAAGATGATTTTTCTCCAGAGTTGTGTAGGGGCTGGAGATCTAGCTTAGTGGTAGAGACTCTGGGTTTGATCCCAAGCACTGGGGGTGGGCGGGGAGTCTTATTTCAAAATTGTGTAAATTTTGGATTACTACTGTTTTGTGTCTAAATAGCACAAATTAGGTTTGTGGCATTTGTGAGAGTTAGCAAAGAGTAGGTTTTGATTTGTGACTATCAGAAACACTGGTTATTAATAGGAAAAATTTAGAATCTTAACTCTGGATTTAGCTCTTAACTGTGTTAGTGGCATGGTACTTAGTTCATGGTTTGTTTTCTGGATTCTATTAAGCAACTGTTCAAGGTAAGTAGATTGACTTAGCAATTTAATGGGATTCTAAAAAACTACTATTTTTGCTGCTAAGTTTTGAGAGAATTAGTCTGAATATGTTAACTTTCAAGATGAATAATAAGTTTGATAGAAGGCACCTGTCTGAGGTGTGTGCATATTCCTTTCTTTGTAGATGTGTTTGGGCTGGTATTAGTGTGTGGTACTATGTATGGTATTGCCATTTTTATAATGTAATTATTTTAAACTTGATTTCTTTACATAAATTATCTGAGACATTTGATAGTGGTAAAAATAAAATATAAATTATAAGATCAAGTAAAGGAAAGAGTTCATTTGTGTCTTACCTTTGTTTCTGTGTGCTACCATGGTATGCTAAACCACTGATTATTATTGTGAATGGTTATTTTTCATTTGATATTTCTCAAGCTGAGAATGGATGATCTTTTAATTCAGATAATAACTATTAATCAATAAGGTCACAAGTGATAAATTTAATCTGTATTTTCTTTGTTCATCAAGTAGAATTCTACTCAACTTAATTTTGGTTATAATCTTATTTTCTAAGAAAAAAACTATTAGATTTATATTTGTATGAGTAGGTTGTACATAAGTAAATGTTTTTCTGATTAATCATAGAGTCTTTGGATGGGAAGAGACCCTGAAAGGACCTCTAGTTTATCCTGCAACTTCAGTCAATATCCCACTTAAATCATCCCAGGTAGATGAAAATTTATCCTATTTTCTTATAAATCTTCAGTGGTAATGTGACAACCTTTGTAGATAATTTCTTCTGGGTTTTAGTCATTTTTTTTTCTATCAGGAGGGTCTATCTTCTGTCTAAGCAACACACAGTTAATACTATATTTGTATTTATTTCCTTTTGCTCCTTTCTCAATTTTTAATTAAAAATGGCTGCTTACTATATTACTTTAGCTCTTTAGCTCTTCTTGAACTTCATAATAATAGCTAGCACATGCATAATGCTTTAGTGCCAGACCCTGTTGTAAGCGCTTTGCAAGTTGTAATTCATTTACTCCTCACAGCAGGCCTTTGAGTTAGCTACTATTACTGTTCTCATTTTATGTGCGATGAAGCAGAGGATCTTTGAGATTTAATGACTTGCCCAAGGTTATTACCTAAGACTTCCCTGTAGCTACTTGTTCAGTAGTTGAAAATCTATTAGTACAAACAGATTATTATTATTATTATTTTTTGCTCAAATATTAGCCTAATGGTACATTTATTCTTTATTTAATTTTTGGCACTGGGCATTGAACCCAAGGTCTCACACATGCCCTTTAACATTGAGCTATACCTTCATCCCTTAATTTTTATTTTAGTTCAAAAGATAGAATTCTACCAAGAAGTGAGGATGGGATTCCAACCTTGGCTTTTTACTGGCAGAGTCTGTGCTCCAGTATTACTGCCACTTGACTTGTGGTCATCCTTTGCCATCTCTTCTCCAGGTTTAACAGTGCTGGTTTTGTTCACCTCTTAATGGGTCTTTTTTTTGCCAGTCCTTAAATTATTAAGGTGGTTCTGTTTTTAAACTTTTCTTACTTCCTTTCTAAGTAGGGAACCTGTGACAAATACCATGAGAACTGTGTATAATGAATAGATGACATCAAAGTCCAGAATGAAATAAAATAAAATCAAATCAGTTTTAAAATGCCTACTGCATTGCGTATTTTCTGCCTACTTTTTTAGCTATAATAGGCCCTGCACTTATACACTGTAATTGGTTTGCAGTGGAAAGACTATTGCTGTTTGAGGAAAAATGGAGCTTAGATTTAAATGCAGATATACATAAGTAAAATCTTTTTAGATCCTGTTTTTTTTTTTTTTGGCTATATTCTCTCTCTCTCTTTTGCTTTTTTTTTTTGATAAATTTTTTAAATATTTTTATTTTAGTTGTAGTTGGACACAATACCTTTATTTTATTTTTATGTGGTGCTAAGGATCAAACCCAGGGCCTCACACATGGTAGATGAGCTGTCTACCTCTAAGCCACAACCCCAGCCTTTCGGTAACTTAAAAAATTTTTTTAAAAAAAATTTTTCCTATATTCTCTTTCTTTATGCCTGTGTACATAATCTACTAAGTACATTTATTCATGCTTTAATTTGGTTAAGTAAATCAATCTCATTTTAAAAAATCACTTAGAACTACTGAGTGGTCATATTAGCTAAGTATGTGAGTGGTTTGAAACCAGAAACAACTCTGTGAAAGGGAGCTTCTGTTGTTGATACTCTATTTTTTTAATGACTTAATTTTATTACAGTTTAATTTTATTACTTATGGAAAAATGATACAAAAAACTTCTGAATACCTTTACTCAAAACTACCACTTGTGATTTTGCCCCATTCATTTTATCATTTTCTCTGTGTAAGGACTTTTAAACAAATAAAATTGGAGAAAGTGCAAATGGAGTAAGAATGTTTTTTGAGTACTAGATATTGGAAAGTTTGGTGTGTGTTTGATTTATCAAGCACTTAAAACAAAGGCATGTCAAGATTGGGTTTAGTGTGGATTTTATGATTGTGTAGTCTGTTGTTTTCAGTACATTCTGAAAAAAAAGAAAGATTCTTTCACCTGTGAATGACAGATATGTTGGCTCCTCCCATCAGTAACAAATTGTGTTGTACCCCTCTATTGACAATCTTTCTAGCACCAGGCATGGTGTGTCCTTAGGCCATATGAGCTATTGATGATGAATGGGTGATTATTGTTTGAGAAACAGGAGCCACAGAGCCCCTCAATACTATTACCAAAAAATATTTAGGTAAAATAATGTATTTAGGGGATCATTATGTAGTTTCAAAGAGCTAGAAAAGATCAAAGTGCAAAATGTATTGCTTTAAGTATGTTGATTGGGGTTACTAAATAGTAGTATTTGATGAGGTAATATGGATAAGGAGAGGATCAATAAAAATATCTTAACATTCCATGCCTGCCTTCAAAATCTAAATTTTTGATTCTTTTTGATTGATGTCATATAAGGAAATTAACTGACCCACCTCCAGTCATCTACAAATCCTAATTAAAATGATAGCCTATCTATTTGATAAAGTTGTGATCTATAGAAAGGCTTGTCCAATTTAAGCAAAAGGAATATTAGCAGTATTCTGACAAATGTAAAATACAATACTTGTGGGCTGCTTTTCCTTTTCTCCCCGTTTAAGCTATTATCAAGCTATGAAATATAGCTCCTTATTAAAGCTGATTGTAATAATTAAAAACACTTCCCTTTCATAAGGACGAGAAAATTACAAATTATTTGGAAAGCATTGTTTCTAGTCATGCGTTATTGTTTCTGAGACATGGGCAGTTTTTAAAGACTATAATACTGTTCCTTTTCCATTCACATGTTAATAGAAGTCTGGAAATTTCACTCTTCTGAAATGTTCAGGGTTGTTTTTATTATATGTCAAGTTGTAAACACCATTCTGTGACAGGTATTTTCTCTCTTTGTCTTCTTTTGAGCTAATTAGTAATTTACACTCTAGTAGCATCTCTTCCAGCCTCACTGTGTGAAAATGCCTGCTACTCCATGCCTTCCATGCACCCAGGGCTGGCAAATGATTGGGGGCAGATGTTGGTTAGCACATCGAAGGATCAGGGATAAAATGCATTTTTATATTGTGTTTTTAAAGGCTTTTGTGTATGTGTTTCCCCATCTCCACCATCTACTCTGCAAACAGGAATATTAGGACCTTCTGTAACCTAGAGCTGTTGCCCTTGATTCAGTTTGGGGTTTTCAATTCTGTCCCCTACCCCCACCCCCACATTGTGGGATTTGGGGAGGATTAGCAGGGCAGTCTGGCATAGTTTAGAGCCCAGGAAGCTGGTCTTCACTGTTCCCTCCCATCAGAATGTGAAGACCCAGGCATTGTTTTTAGAACCCACCCAGCAGTGTTTCTCTTGCTGGGGAAGTTGTGTGATTGATGGGACAGCAGTTCTTTGCTAGTTAGGAGATGCTTTTCTATAACACTCTATATCTCTCCAAAGGAAGGGGAGGTCCTACCTTTGTGTCGGATTTTTCAAAATACAGCTGAGAGTGACCAGAAGATAATTTATAGCTTGGTTTTAACATTTTGTCACATTGGGGTCCTGTTCTTTCCTGTCTCCTGCTCTCTCTTTCTTCAGTCTGATGTGGGAAAGATGTGTTGCATCTGTCATATGCTCACTTGGATGAGCCATGTGGGCATATTAAAACAGCAAGGGCATTTGACTTTTAAATAGTAGTAAGGATCAGTTTGTTTTGTGAATATGAATTTCAGTTGAAAATTACTAAGTAAGGGTAGATAGAATTTTACTGGTTTGTTTTGAATCCAAAATGTTCTACAATGCCAGATAATTTGTGTGGTACTTATTTTTGCAGTTGTGGATACTAATTTATCAGGATAATAAGGTCAAAATTCCTGTTAGAGCTAATTAAATTTTCCTTGACAAAATTTGTTACCTGGAGATGGCCACAAAGAAAATCAGGTAAGAAAATGTGTGAATAGCTCATTTCAGCCGTCATTGCTAATAGCGTTATAGTCAATAGACATGGAGCCCTTTACAGTGAATCAGCACTCAGGCACAATAGTCATCTCATTTATACATGCATTTATAGAGTATCTGGTGCTGTGCTGGTGTTTTGTTTTTATAAACCAAAATGTCTAGAACATTCATGTGGCTCTTGCTAACATTTACTTCTCTTACTCTCTCTCCTTTTTCTATATTCTAATACAGCCACCTATGTCTTATTTTTATTGGATGCCCATAGCTGAGTACCAATTGTACCTTTGTACCTTGTAACATCTAAAGAGGTCAAATGTCATATTAATAAACAACACTGTATATTAAAAAAGTGAAATATTATCAAAGTGAACTAATCAGAGGGTGTTGTAAATACAATTGAGAAAGTGAATACATGACTATCCATGTGCTATATTATTAAAATAAATGTTTCTACAGTGTATATCAAAGCTCTGAAGAGCTTATAGCAATGTATTTCAAGTGTATTTTAAGACATCTGTCTCATTTTTAGTTGGCATCATTGTGCTCAAAACCCAAATTGGTTAGACATTAACAGTCTTCCCAAACATACTGTTAATGTGATTTTTGAATTTTTTTCTCCATAGGCAGTTTAGCTTAGTGTACAACTAATAATAAATTCAAAATATACCTGACCTCTAAATTCAGTAATCCCAATCATTTAAATAAGTATAAAATGAAACATGTAATTATACTATTTTACTTATCAGATTGAGGAAAATTTTAAAAATTGATGTTAGTTAATAGTGGATGGGATGTAGGGACATTGGCAGGGATATAAGTTTTCTTGGAAGTAAATTTGGCAATGTCTGTTGGAACTTAAAATGTACATATCTGCTTCTAGGAATTTGTCCTAAATAACATACACTTGTGTGAAAAATAGGAGTATAAAGTTTTTCTTTCCAGCATTGCTGGTTATAACAGATGATGTTCGTCAGTCAGAGATTAATTAAACAACGTATGATAGGTCCACACAGAACACCATTTAGCTTTTCCAAATGCATAGATCTCTATTTGTTCATGTGGAAAGATGCCACTAATTTATTTTTAAAAGTTACATTACAGCCAGGTACTGGTACATGCCTGTAATCCCAGCTACCAGGGAGGCTGAGTCCAGAGGGTTATAAATTTGAGGCCAGTCAATGAGATCCTGCTCAGTGGTGGAGCACTTGTCT